AAGCATGCCGACAGTTGTGTTTTGCAGGCGTGTGTCCGCTTGCCCCCGCATATCTCCCCTGTTCCTCCTTCCTCCCGCCTCCTTGTACATCCTCCTTGTGGGGGGAGCGGGAGAAGGACGAGGCGGAGGAGGAGGGAGAGAAAGCGCTCCTCGTGGTTTGAGTCGTTTGGGGTTTCTCGTCCTGGTGTGAGTCGTTCGGGCCCTTCTTCCTGGTGTGAGTCGTTCGGGCTCTTCGTGGTGTGAGTCGTTCGGGCTCTTCGTCCTGGTGTGAGTCGTTCGGGCTTCTCGTGGTGTGAGTTGTTCGGGCCCCTCGTCCTGGTGTGAGTCGTTCGGGCCCCTCCTCCTGGTGTGACTCGTTCGGGCTCCTCGTGGTGTGAGTCGTTCGGGGCCCTCGTCGTGGTGTGAGTCGTTCGGGCTCCTCGTGGTGTGAGTCGTTCGGGCGCCTCGTCCTGGTGTGAGTCGTTCGGGCCCCTCCTTCTGGTGTGAGTCGTTCGGGCTCTTCGTGGTGTGAGTCGTTCGGGCCCCTCGTCCTGGTGTGAGTCGTTCGGGCTCCTCGTGGCGTGAGGCGTTCGGGCACCTCGTCCCCTTTTGGGGCGTCTTGGGGGCCTCTTGGCGGCCCCAGGGGCTTCTAGGAGCGTCTTGGGTGCCTTGGGGGAGCCTCTTCGGGCCTCTTGGGAGCCTCTTGGAGGCCGTTTGGGGCGTCTTGGGGGCCTCTTGGCGGCCCCAGGGGCTTCCAGGAGCGTCTTGGGTGCCTCGGGGGAGCCTCTTGGGGCCTCTTGGGGGCCTCTTGGGGGCATCTTGGGGGCCTCTTGGAGGCCTCTTGGGGGCCTCCTGGGGGCCTCTTGGGGCCATCTTGGGGCCTCTTGGTGCCTCCTGGGCGCTTCTTGGGGCCATCTTGGAGGGAATCGATCAAAGAAGAGGGGAGCTTGAATGAGCGCTGCCCCCTCAGAAGGGCAAAATGAGGCCAAAACCTTCGTAAAATCAATGATTTTGCCTGGAAAGAAGAGGGGAGCTTTAATGAGCGCTGCCCCTCAGAAGGGGAAGATGTGGCCAAAATCGTAGTAAAATCAATGATTTTGGCTTCAAAGAAGAGGAGAGGGTTTTTTCTGCCCCCCCCCGTCGGGGCCAGAATCCTCGTGAGGGGTGTCGTTTTTTTGCCCTCCCAGGAGTCGAAAAAGACCCCTCCGGCCACCCGCGAAAGGACCTCTCCAGGGCCACGGGGAGGGGGTAGGGGGAGGGGTAAACCCCTCCCCGAAGGGGAAGAAGGGGGGTTGAGAACAGAGAGAGCTCCCTAAACCACTCACGCCCAAAGGGCTGGTGGGACTCGTCGGACCTGCCATCCATGGATCCCGATTTGGGGGGCCTCTTGAAACTCCCTTGGGACCCCTCGGGGCGATCCTGTGTTATCTATGATGGTTGCCAGCGTGGCCCCCAACCGCTGAGATATTGGACCTTGGATGTGCTAGCTATGTGGTCCGAGCTACGTGGTGCAGACCTTGTTGTGCCGTCTACGTAATGTAAGGTATGTGGTGCAAGCAATTCTAGACGCTGCGCGTATCCCCACCAGCCCGTCCAGAAACGACGCCCAGGCGAGTAGAGGGTCCCTGAGGGGCTTTTCGGCGTCTTGGGTGCCTCGGGGGGGCCTCTGTGGGCCGTTCGGGATCCTCTTTGGGGCCTCCTGGGGGCCTCTTGGGGCCTCTTGGGGCCATCTTGGGGCCTCTGGGGGGTCTCTGGGAGCACCTTGGGTGCCTCTGGGGCCTCTGGGAGCACCTTGGGTGCCTCTGGGGGGTCTCTTGGGGCCTCTTGGGGGTCTCTTGGGGGCCTCCTGGGGGCCTCTTTGGGGGCCTCTTGGGGCCATCTTGGGGCCATCCTGCGGCCTCTTGGGGCATCCTGGGGGCCTCTTGCGGCCATCGTGGAGGAAATCGATCAAAGAAGAGGGGAGCTCTAATTGGCGCTGCCCCCTCAGAAGGCCAACATGGGGCCAAAACCATAGTAAAATCAATGATTTTGGCTTCCTCGCCGAGGCCGTTTTGGACGCTCTGACCGCTCCCCGCCCCTCCTGTCCAGGTCAGTGGGGAGGGGGTAGGGGGAGGGGTAAACCCCTCCCCGAAGGGGAAGAGGGTGGGGTGGAAGAGGAAACGCCCTAAACCACCGACGCCCAGAGGGCTGGTGGGATTTTTTGTAAGCCATATTTTGCAAGCTATGCGGTGCAATGTGTGTGCTGCACTTTATGATCAATATTGTGTTGTGCTGTGTAAGCGATGTGGAATGATCAAGAGCAGGCCGTGCTAACACCACCTGCCGTCTTCTGGTTTGATAGTCTCAGATGATGATGAGGGGGAGGAACATGGGGACCGAGCTTGTTATTCGTTTCTCCAGGTGCTTGCGGAGGACCCAGGCCCCAGGAGGCTTCCCAGGACGTCGATGGACCTTGGACAGTTTCGTCATCGTCATCGTCGTCGTCGTCGTCGTCGTCGCTGTCGAGGTGGCAGAGGGAAGTGAGGGAAGCGGGCGGGCGTCGGCAGAACCTCAACGTCGCCGCGGCGTTGACGGAGCTGCGCCTGATCACGGGCATCAGTGACCTCCAGAACTGCTCGGCGCTGCCTTTCGAGATGTGCTCGGACACCGGGGGGCGTCGACTGCGCACTGGCACCAAACAGGGCCGGACCCACTGGGCTTGGGATTGGATCTGCGCCTCCCTGCGTTCCCCCCACCCCCCCAGAGCTCATTCTTCGGGGGTGGACAGAACCCCCAACAGTGACAGGTCGATTAGTGAATTGTCCGTTTTCGGTTCTCGAGAGGGCGCCGTGGCCGTTATTTTCCAGGCCTGCACCCGCCAGGTTTGGGCCTCAGGTCGTTTTCACTAAACCACGTTTTACTAAAGGGGGGTCTGTCCATCCCCGAATTCTGACTCCTCCGCCGACTCGGTTCGATTCAACTTCGATGGTTTCCGATCACGATTCGACTCGATTCGACACCGGACTCCGACTTCTCCCTGGAGGCCTTACCAGCCCGCCAATGTCCGCCGGCTCGAATGCTCGCGACCCGGCCGCCGCTGTCTGCCGCTCTGGTTCATCTCGCTCTCCACCCCTGCCCCCCTTGCTCCTCCTCCTCCTCCTATTTCTCCTCCTCCTCGTCCTCCTCCTCCCCCTCCCTGTCCTCCTCCTCCTCCTCTTCCTCCTCCTCCTCCTCCTCCTCCTCCTCCTCTTCCTCCTCCCCCTCCTCCTTCGCTGCCTTGCACGGCTTCTCTGATCCGCGGGAAGCGGTAGATTGGTGTCTCTCGGAGCGCGCGAGGGAGGCTCGGGAGCTGCAGGCCCGGGGGGACTCGGGCTCCCCGTAACTTTTTAGGACTCGCCGTGCGGTAACAGGCAGTACCGAACTTAATAATATGTTTATTGAGTTTCGCTGGATGCGATGGAGCTCGCTCCATGCTTTGAATCAGCTTTAATCAGCCTCTTCCTCCTCCCCCTCCTCCTCCTCCTCCTCCTCCTCCTCCTCCTCCTCCTCCTCCTCCCCCTCCTCCTCCTCCCCCTCCTCTCCCCCTCCTCCTCTCCTCCTCCTCCTCCTCCTCCTCCTCCCTCCTCCTCCTCCTCCTCCTCCTCCCTCCTCCTCCTCCTCCTCCTCCTCCTCCTCCCTTTCCTCCTCCTCCTCCTCCACCTCCTCCACCTCCTCCTCCTCCCCGAGCCGCTTTGGCGCTTCCAGCCCCGGCGCGGAGGCGATCCGCGTGCTCCCGCCCGCTCGGGTGCTGCCAGAGGTGCCCCCTGGCCCGCGGGGTGTCCCCAGGGGCCTCCCCGGGAGGCCCAGGCGGCCTCAGGCGCGCCCCTCGCGAAGCCAAGGGTTCCCCAGGGTTGAGTCGGGCCTGTTCCTCTGCAGGAGGAATATTCAAAAATAGTCAAAAGATAGTCTGGGGACGATACATGTATATATATATATATATATATATATTAGAGTATTCAATCGCATTTGTGAGATATTTGTAATTTTTCGTTCAAGATCGGCCTGTCGGGGAACAGGCCCGACTTTCCTCTCGGGCGCAGAGATGGCGCGGGACGCTGGGGACACGTGGGCCCAGTGCATCTTCCTTCTGTCGGCGGAGAAGCCTCAGGAGGGGAAAAAACACACAGACACAATTAATCGGCGATTCCCAGAAAATATGGGAAAATATGGGAAGTAGAGGGGAAGACAAAAAACAAGAAAATATGGGGAAATATGGGGAATGTTTTTATTTGTGTGTATTTATTTGTGTGTCCCAGTTCCCCTTCAAAGCCCGCGGGGGTGGGGAGTGAGACGGGGCAGGCCTCCTCCGAGGGCTCCACAGGCCTCCGGCCTCCAGCGATGTTGCCCGAGCCTTCTCCGAGGGCAGGGGCGGCCTCTCCGAGGGCCAGAGGGCTTCTGAGAAGCCCCGCCGCCTTCGGAGGAGGCCTGCCCCTTCGCACTTCCCCTCCGTAGGCACGCCGCCGATTCCAGCCGCGCCCGATCCCTGCCCCGTTCTCGCTCGGGGGCAGCCCCTGCCGCCTCTGCCTGGCAGACTGGCCGCCCTCTGCGGGCAAGGTATTCGCATCCGCGTCCACTGCGTCTTGGAGTGTTTCGGGCCTCCCGCCACGGAGTCCGGAGGCGCAGTGGATTCGGAGACAAATCCGCTCCCCAGATGCTACATCTTTGTCCACCCCCAGTGTGCCTCGGCCTCGTGGCGCCCCCTCTCCCAGGATCGGCGGCACGCCCGGGGGGAAGTGAGGAGTAACAGGCCTTCTCAGAAGGCTCGGAAGTCCCGCGGCCTTCTGAGAAGTTTCTCCGAGCCTTCCCTGAAGACACAGAGCCATTCTCAGGAGGGCTGGGGCCTTCCGAGAAGTCCCGCCGCCTTCTGAGAAGGCCTTCTCCTTCCAATTTCCCCTCTCGCTCGCCGCCAACAGAAATTCCAAGACGCAGTGGGTATGGTCGGCGGCGCGCCGGGGTGGAAGCGAGAACGAGCAGGCCTTCTCACCAGGCGGCGGCGTCTCGGTAGCCCTCTGGCCCTCTGTGCCCGCGCCCCTCCGTGACGGCCCGTTCGAGCAGGGGATCGACTGCAGAATTGATCTACCTTGATATTGATTTGCTCGTCAAACCTGTGAACATTCATACAATGGTTTTTGAATCTACGAAAGTTCGATGCATTTTTCGTAGATTCGGCAACGACAATCTTGAGGTAGATCAATTTTGTAGTCGATCCCCTACTCGAGCGCGCTGACGGCGATGCGGGTGAAGGCGATGCAGGTTACGGTATCGTAGGCGGGGGTGGTGCGTGGTCGACCTACTTGTAGGGGAGGCCTGCTAGTGTTTTCCCACGATCCGTTCTGCGCGAGTTCGGCGTCGCAAGAACCATACTCCCAACGCCGTCGCCGTTGACCAACATCGCCGTTAGCGTGGCACTGGCGCTCCATGGAAGGGACTCGGCGACGCATCGTCTATGTATCGGCGACAGGCCCCCGATGGCCAGTCCGAGATCTCTGGCAGACAGGCCGGGCAGCCAATCGCACGAGGAACGAGCCACGCTTCGAGAACCTCTCTCTTGCGGGCCGGCAGTGCCGCCCGCCCGCTAATCCGATCCTCGACGGCAGCGCCATCGCGGACAGGGACGTATGGCGGAGATGAGCTTCTGTTTTTGGCGAGCGACGCTCTGGTGGTGATTTTAACGCGGATGAGAGACAGTCTCGCCGGATACCTTGTTTGAGGCCGTGGCGAAGAACGAGCATTGACACGGACGCGTCGGGCCTGTTCTTTCGCCTTGCAGCGTTTTGCAGGGGAGGGCTGAGTTCAAAAACGGTACCGCCTGTAGCGACGGCGCAGCCCCTGAGATTTACGGGGCGCTGCCACAGCTCATGTTGCTGGAGTTTTGGACATGCCTCAGACAACGACTTCCCGATTCTGGGTCCCCGGACCAGTCGAGCTGGGAAATCATTGAGTTCATTTGAATTCCAAATTTTTCCAAAACCCAGAACTCTCACGGAATTTCGTTGGCCTGGCAAGCTGGACGTCTGTTCGAAACGGAGCTTATTATGTCTGCAGGACCATGTATAAGAACCAGTACCCAGCAGCCTTGCGGCCACGTTCGGTTGTCGACCTGGGTTTTCATGTGTTGCCGTTGTATGCGTGCTTCGCCAGAGCATTTTGCAGCTTCTCGTTGGGACAGCAGCTTTGTGAGGGTTTGGATATCCAAACCGCTTTCGACAGCATGGCGCGCGGAGCCATGACTTCTGCATGCCAGTCGCGGGGGATGCACCCTGCCTTGGCTGAGGCGTCGTTGCGGGAGGTTTATGGCATGATGTGCATCCTCACGCTGCCTGGTGCCGACCCTTCTGATATTTCTGATTTGGGGCGGGGAAGCAAACCGAGTGGCATCGACGCTCCAGGAGAGTTCAATATCGTGCTCGGCGCGGCCATGGACAAGCTGCTAGCCCGTTGCGAACTCTGAGATTACGGCTTCGCCCTGGATCGGGTGTGCAAGCACCGCGTGTCCAATCGCATTTGGGCAGGCAGCGCTGTTTTACTAGCGTCTTGCGCTTACGAGTTCAACCGCATTGTGCATGACGTTGTTGGTGAGATCGTCCGCGGGGGCTTCACGTGGAAGGCATCATCTTTGGAATGCCTGCGTGCGGCCTGGTTGTGAAGAAACGACTTGCAGGTTTGCAGTCGTACAACGCCTTGCAGGTTTGCAGTACGACTTGCAGGTTTGCAGTCGTACAACGCCTGTTCGCTCTGTTAGTTATGGCGGCGATACTGTCACCTGCGCTGATCATGGATTCGTTGCAGCCCAGAAGAAAATCTGTTTCAACGTCATGGTTTTGAAAGGGTGGGGGGAAATTGTTACCACAAATCAAGATATGGTCCAAAGGACCGGCGGCTAGCGCCGCGCAACAACGACGACGACAGCCACACCATTGTTGCGATCGCGACTACGATGACGACGACGAAGACGACGACGCCGATTACTAGTACTACTACTACTACTACCACCACTACCACCACTACTACTACTACTACTACTACTACTACTACCACTACTACTTCTACTACTACTGCTACTGCTACTACTACTACTATTACTACTACTACTACGACTACTACCACTACTACTACTACTACTACTACTACTACTACTACTACTACTACGACGACTACTACTACTACTACTACTACGACTACTACATTTAATACTACCACTGCTACTACTCCTACGACTACTACTACTATTACTACTACTACTACTACTACTACTCTGCTAGTAGTACTACTACGAAGAACGAGTACTAGTACTAGTACCAGTACTGGTACTACTACTATTACTACGACCACTACTACTCTACTACCACTACTACTACTCCTACTACTACTACTACTACTACTACGACTAGTACTGCTGCTGCTACTACTACTACTACTACTACTACTTATTACTACTACTACTACTACTACTACTACTTTGGCTACTACTACTACTACTACGACTACTACTACTACTACTACTACTACTTCTACTACTGCTACTACTACCACTACCAACACTCCTATTTCTACTGCTTTGACGATCACAACTACTACTCTTACATATACTATTACTGCGATTGCTACCAGTAGTACTACTACAACAGCAACAACAAGTACTACTACGACTAGTACTGCTGCTACTACTACTACTACTACTACTACTTCTACGGCTGTTTGTACTACAACAACCACCACCACTACTACTACTACTACTACTACTACTACTACTACCACTACGACTACTACCACGACTGCTACTACGAGTTTTACGGCGATGGTTGCGACTACCAGTACTATTTCGTCCGCCACTACCTACTACTACTCCCATTACTACTGCTACTCTGACGGCGTCGACTAGTACTAGTACCACCACTACGGCTGCGACTACGGCTTCTGCGACGACTATCGTTGTTAGTTTTACCACCACCACCTACTACTACTCTTACTACCACTACTACTACTACCACTACTACCACTACTACCACTACTACTACCATTACTTTTACTACTACTACTACTACTACTACTACCACTACTACTACGACTACTACTTCTTCTACTACTACTACTATTACTACTAGTACTACTACTATTACTACTACTACTATTACTACTACTACTGATACTACCACTACTACTACTACTACTACTTCTACTACTACTACTACTCTTACTGCCACTACTACTACGATTACTACGACTGCTACTACTACTACTGCTGCTCCGATTACTACCACTACTACTACTGGTACTACTCGCATATATGCTACTGTTACTACTCCGACTACTCCTGCGACTACGACTACGACTATTATTCTTACCACTCCTACTGCTACTATTTCCGCTTGTAGTACCACTGCTACACGGCAGCTGCTGTTATTAGTTGCTGTTGTTACTTCTGCTCTTATTATGATTAGTCTTACGATTTCTTTACGACGACTGTAGCTATTAAGACTACTACCACAGCTGCGATTACTGCTCCCACTACTTCTTCGACGACTGTCACTATTACAAATATTAGTATTGCTTCTACCACTCGTATTCCCCCCAATGCCAACATTCCCCCCACTCGTATACTACTACTTCTTCTACGACAACCCCCCAATGCCTACTATTTCTAACCTTGCTACTACTACTACTGCTACTACTACTACTACTGCTACTACTACTACCACTACTACCACCACCACCACCACTACTACTACTACTACTACTACTACTGCTACTACTACTACTACTACTACGACGGGTACTACTACTACTACTACTACTACTACTACTACTACTACTACTACTACTATTACCACTACTACTACTACTACTACTACTACTACTACTACTACTACTGCTACTGCTACTGCTACTACTACTACTACTACTACTACTACTACCATTACATTTTCTTCTACCACCATTATCCATAGTATTACGTATGCCTCAGGAGCGCTCTCATCGAAACCCCGAGCTCAGAAATCAACGTTCAGCACATACTTTGCCCGACGAAGGACCCTACCATATGCAGATGCGAGTGCCGCATTGTGGGTACCGCTGTCGGTGGAGCTCCGTATGAGGCCACTCAAAGTGCGAAGGGTGCGCCGAAATCGGTGTCGCGGACGCATGTGGACACCACCACTGGAGCCTTCGGTGGAGCTTCCAATAGATCAACCAAGCGCTGTCTTGGGTGGCGGTGACGCATGCGGCCTGTGCTAGTGGAGCCATTGGTGGAGCTGCCTACAGAGCCACGAAACGCTGTCCTGTGTGGCGGTGACGCATGCGGCCTGTGCCACTGGAGCTTTCGGTGGAGCTCCCTATGGGGCCACGAAGCGCTGTCCTGGGTGGTGATGACGCATGCGGCCTCTGCCACTGGAGCCTTCGGTCGAGCTGCTTATGGGGCCACGAAGCGCTATCGTGGGTGGCGGTGACGCATGCGGCCTGTAGCATTCGGTGGAGCTGCCTATGGAGCCACGAAGCGCTGTCCTGGGTGGCGGTGACGCATGCGGCCTGTGCCATTGGAGCCTTCGGTGGAAATCCTCATTTGGCCACGAAGCGCTGTCCACGAAACGCTGTCCACGGGGGTGACGAAGCGGATGAGAGCAGGGAAGCGGGGGAGGATTCTGCTATGAGGATTCTGCTATCCTGATCTGCCGCGCCATGAGCAAGAGAACGCGACCGACGACGATGAGACAGCACCATCCCCCAGGCTTCTCCTGGGCGACATGGGGCTGCATCAGAAAAAGGCGGTTGGTGGTCGGGTGTCGCCCTTCCCCCAACCGATTCAAATGCCCAGAGATCTTCCGAAGATCGCCCCCAGGACACTGAGACACGCCGTGGCAGCACGCTGCCACTGCCTGCTTCTCGCACGCACGCTTGGGCAGCCCCGCTGCCACTGCCTGCTTGCTTCCTCCCTTTTCGCACGAGTGGATTTCCTCCACCCCTGCTCTCGCACAGCGGGCTGATCTCTGCACTGTAACTGAGGGTAGCTCGTCCGTGCCCTGCCATTTCGCGCCGGAGGCCGTTCGTTGGCCCCTGCACTTCTCGCGCGCGCTGCTTCTAGCGAGTGTAGCTAGATAGAGTCGGGCTACAACTTTGCCTCCCGCTTCTCCCACCGCACGGTCGTGGCTAGGAAGGTGACGTTTGGCTCCAGCATTGCTTCCCTCTTCTCGCAGCGGCTTGCCCAGATCCCAACGCTGTAGTAGACGACGTCGGGCTCTGCCTTCGCCTCCCACTTCTCGCAGGATGGCGCTCTTCTCGCACACACTGTTCCCAGAGGTGTTAGCTCTGCCTTCGCCTCCCACTTCTCGCAGGGTGGCGCTCTTCTCGCACACACTGTTCCCAGAGGTGTTAGCTATACGACGTGTGGCTCCAGCTTTGCCTCCCTCTTCTCGCAGCGGCTTGCCCCGATCCCAACGCTGTAGCTGTCGACATCGGGCTCTGCCTTCGCCTCCCACTTCTCGCAGGATGGCCGCGGCAGAACATTGCTCGCTTTTCTCGCACGCGTTGTTCCCAGAGGCGTTAGCCAGAAGAGACACTCGGGCTCCAGCTTCGCCTCCCTTTTCTTGCAGCGGCTTGCCCCGATCCCAACGCTGTGGCTGTCGACATCGGGCTCTGCCTTAGCCTCCCACTTCTCGCAGGATGGCCGCGGCAGAACATTGCTCGCTTTTCTCGCACGCGTTGTTCCCAGAGGCGTTAGCTAGAAGAGACACTCGGGCTCCAGCTTCGCCTCCCTTTTCTCGCAGCGGCTTGCCCCGATCCCAACGCTGTAGCTGTCGACGTCGGGCTCTGCCTTCGCCTCCCACATCTCGCAGGATGGCCGCGGCAAAACATTGCTCGTTTTTCTCGCACGCGTTGTTCCCAGAGGCGTTAGCTAGTAGAGACACTCGGGCTCCAGCTTCGCCTCCTTCTTTTCGCAGCGGCTTGCCCCGATCCCAACGCTGTAGCTGTCGACATCGGGCTCTGCCTTCGCCTCCCACTTCTCGCAGGATGGCCGCGGCAGAACATTGAAGAGACACTCGGGCTCCAGCTTCGCCTCCCGCTTCTCGCAGGCCGTCCTTCTCGCACGGACGACTCCCAGCGTTGCAGCTGATCGTGGCCCACCCGCGCATTTTTCACAGCGCCAGCGTCCGCTGCCACTGCGCGCTCCCTTTCTCGCACGGATTGCTCCCAGCGTTGTAGCTGATCGTGGCCCACCCGCGCCTTCGTCCCTGTCGCAGCGCCAGCTCTGGCTGCCACTGCTTGCTTTCTCGCAGCGTCAGCTCTGCCTGCCACTGCTGGTCTTCTCTCACGGCCTGGTCCCTACGCTGTAGCTGATCACGACTCTATTTTCCCCTCACTCTGCCCGCGGCGCCGCATCGGCTGGCGCCCCGGTCTGCCAGGAGGTGGAGTAGGGTGGAGACGGAGAGGAGGAGGAGGGGGCGGGAGGGGGCGGGCATCCTGGCAGCTGCGCGTTCGCCTGATCTCAGCGTTGTAGCTGATGACGTGGGGCTCCGCGCTGCTTCTTCATGACTCGGGCGCGCAGCGCCACTTCGAAGTTTGCGCGCCGCATCGTCCAAGGGGCCCGGTGCAGGGGGGGGCCGCTCGGACGCGAAATGGTTAAGCGGGGGAGGAGGAGGGGGAGGAGGAGGAGAGGAGAGGAAAGGAGACGCGGGGCGCTGTCTCTTAATAGCGAGGACCCAACTCCACAGGATGGTCGGGAACAATTCATCTTCGGAAACTCCCTCCTCGACCTCCTTTTCGTGCTAGTCTTAAGGAGGAGCAGAAGGAGCAGAAGGAGGAG